TCATTTAAACCTTTATTTATTATAAATATATGTATTATATATGTACAAATGTATTATATATATATCTATAATACACTTGTTGTGTCTTCTATTATTTTCTATTATCAGCATTTTATATAATATAATATAATATAATATAATATAATATAATATAATATAATATAATATAATATAATATAATATATTATACACTAATTACATAATATATATTTATATTAAAACTATATATAAATATATATATATATATATATATATATATATATATATATATATATATATATATATATAATTATTTATTTACATTTATTTTATTTTTTTTATTTTATTTAAAAAAAAAATTTATGCAAAAGAGCAGCCTCTGCTTTAAGCTGAACTGACTGAATATCTGTTAAATATGTACTATTCTAAAATATACAAACGATTGTAAAATACAGTAAACACCCTAGGCCTAAATCTGTTGAAACGCTGATGGCGGTTGAGTTTGCAGCTAAATATTATTGGGAGATCGCTGACAGTTACAGTGAACAGCTCCGCCAAAGTGCGTCTGAAGCTCGCTTGCAAGTTTATTTTCCAGTCTATGACAAAAACACAACTGATCTTCGCTAGATCCTGTATGGGTGCGCGTCTGTTATAAAACACTCGCAGGACATTAATTTGGACGACTATGCAGATATGTTAAATAGTTCACACAAAAATACACAAAGAGAGACTTTCACTTTCACCACGCATAGTTTGTGAATGAACAGATGCGTGTTGCCTACTAATTGCAGAAGCAGTCATGAGGGTGTATTTGTGCCAAGCTTGAAGTAATTAATCACAGAACTGGAGAAAGTGAATTACTTTGATCATTTTAATATAGCATATTAATAATGAAATCCAAAAATTGTCGTATTATCCACCTGTAGGATCGCTGAGGCCCACTAGTGGGCCACGGCTCACCGGTTGAGAAATCCTGCTTTATCGGAAGAAATTAACTGTTTGAAGTTGCGCCATCCAGTGGACACAATTGGAACAGCAGCTTCTTTTATTGAAAAATTGCAGGTCATTTTTATACTTAACGGAGTGATCTTGCGGGCCGGATTAAACCTGTTTGCGGGCCTAATCCGGCCCGCGGGCCATACGTTTGACACCCCTGTTCTTTACCGTATAAATGTGGCAGTATGAATGGAACTGGCACACACAACATCTGCCCTTTTGCCATGATCACGTGACCTACCCTTTTCGTTTACGTTGCTTTACTCCCATTCATGAATTCTCCCACGTGGGCATCATGGTATAGCGAAGCATGCATCTGATGCACACTTTAGAACAGTGATGGGCAAACTCGGTCCTGGAGAGCCGGTGTCCTGCATAGTTTAGCTCCAATGCTAATCAAACACACCTGAACATGCTAATCAGTGTCTTCAGGATCACTAGAAATATATAAGCAGGTGTGTTTGATTAGAGTTGGAGCTAAACTGTGCAGGACACCGGCCCTCCAGGACCCAGTTTGCCCACAGCTGCTTTAGAATCTCGCCGGAAGTAGTAGGTTATCCGAGTACTTAATGTATGCTGTTTTTCAAATTCTATGAATTTAGACATACTACTCGGCTTGCATATTGTTTTTAGTTTACAATGGAAGTTTGTGATTTCGGACGCAGCTTCAGTGTCATTAGAATGACTATATTTTGTTTTATATTATTTTTGACCATAATCTTTACAGTGTTTATGTGTGTCTCCTTAGGTAATCGGTTCAGCTATGAGCATGGTCGCATGTTAATAGTGTGTGCGTGGGCCTATTCTCTTGTGTTCGCCTGTTCTCCACTTGCCCACTGGGGGCAGTACGGACCAGAACCCTACGGCACAGCCTGCTGTATTGACTGGGCCTGGTCCAATCAAAACTCAGTGGCCCGCTCGTACACCACTGTGCTCTTCATCGCCTGCTATCTGGTGCCGTGTGTCATCATCATCATCTCTTACACACGCATACTGATCACGGTTCGAGAGTCCCGCAGAGCGGTGGAGCAGCACGTCTCAGCGCAGACACGCATGGGCAACATCCAGACCATCATAGTGAAGGTGCAGTATTCAGTTTTCAAGGTTCTTGATTTTTTCATTCATTCATTCATTTTCCTTCGGCTAATGCCGAGTTCAGACTGCATGATTTTCAAAGTAGTCATGTCACAGATGTTTTCACACTGCATGACTATCTGGGCTAGCGTTTCGTCGCTGCTTTGTTTACAGAGGGACATTTACATTGCATGGCTTTACTATAGGAAGAATCGCCGACAACTTCATCCAAACTACGTCTCACAGCCAAAAACGCGTCGTATATCTTTTGTTATTAACTACATAATGAGAAAGAAGCCTTTAATGGGGTAGAGCATGTACATGTTTGCTCACCTGGGTTTAAAGGGAATTAGCCATTTCTCCTCAACGTTGATAATGAACTAATTTCTTTCTGTATGAAACGTCAAACAGACACGGTTGCTACTGAGTCCTGTCAAACCTCCACTAGTTTTTCCTCCATTTCGTGGGTCCAAATAAACCGAAAAAGAGCGCTTTTAACTTCTCCCCAGCCTCCCGCTGGCCTGCAGCAGGTATACACACACGCACATACAAGTGAAAGCTGCTCTCTCATTGGCTGTAGGCGATCGCTGATGTTATTTTCAGTCAAAACTCAATTCACACGGCATGATTTGAATCGTCGACAGCTCCAGATATTTAGCACGCCAAATATCTCACAGGCATCGGCGACTCATCTGCAATTCTCTCAGATTGCGTTTTTGATAGTTCATACTGTGTGATTGTCACTCACGTGCACGAGCAGCGATTTCCCTGTGATTTCAGGCATTTGTCGGCAATTTCTCAAAACCTGTCGGCGAGCCAAAATCGGGGCTAAAATCACGCAGTCTGAACTAGGCATTAGTCTCTGTTTCAGAGATCGCCACAGTGAAATGAACCGCTATTCTAGCATATGTCTTAAGCAGCGGATTCTCTTCCAGCCACAACCCAGTACTGGAAAACACCCATACACACTTATTTACTCACATACACTATGGACAACTTAGCCTATTCATTTCACCTCTATTGCATGTCTTGTGAAGGAAACCCACATGAGCACAGGCAGACCATGCAAACTCAACAAAGAAATGCCAACTGACCCAGACGAGACTCAAACCAGCGACCTTGCTGTGAGATGACAGTGCTAACCATTGAGCCATCTTGCTGCTCATTCTTGATTTTTTTTTTTTTACATTAAAATTAGTGCTGTCAAAATTAATGTGTTAACGTATGCGATTAATTTTAAATATTTAACGCTTTTAAAAAAATACGCAATTAACGCATTTTTTTTATTTCCTGTTGTGGTCGACATGTTCAACATGCAAAGAAATATGGATAAGACCAAGAAAGCACTATTTGAAGGCAAGTTTCAGTATAAAACATTGTCGCATCACCAGGCTATCCAGCATTTCCTTTAGAGATTCATGCATTTTCGAGTGTTTTATTTTTAACTTTCCGCATGGCAAACGGAAAGAAAAACCTCCGCATTTCATGACTCGGTGGTCCTTTAAGGTAATCAAAAATCACTGCTTACATGGTAGACTCTTAATAAGAGTATTGTCTTAATCATATTAAAATCAGAGTATTGGTTTCCATGTAATGGTACTCATTGAAACTCAGATGATGTCGCAAGCTGTCAAAAAGCGCATTTCTCTGCCTTTTAGCATGCACCCGCCAATGTTTTATTACGTTTGACGTGTTTTCCCCTTAAACACAAGTGTCTGCTTAGAGTTGTTGTGTCAGAATCCTTGTAAAATACAGCCATACATTAGAACGCTTAGTTTAAGCAAATTTGATGAACGTGGTCATGCGTGTTGAATCTGAAGGGAGTCGCTCCGGCTGCCCTGTCCTGAGCGAGTTGTGTTTGTGTGTGTCTGTGTGTGCCTGTGTCTGTGTTTGCGCGCTTAGCAACAAACTTGCCTAAACGTTGTTGTCCGTAGCCACTAAATCAAAAAGGTAAGAATTGCCATGTCAGCTTACATCATGCAAAAGAAAAGGTCCACATTGTCCCCAGATAATGTCAACAGACTGGACTGTTTTAGGAAACTGCTGAATGTAAAAGGAGGACTTAGCAAAATTGTTTCTACTTTATAATTAATGTTCTCAACTCACAGCAATACAACTTTACAATTAGTTCAATTGTTTGTATTCAATTCTTTAGTGTTATTATAATTTTCCATTTTCCATATCTGTAATGCCTGTATTTTGGCATTTTATGCAGTCCGATTAGAATCAAACATGGAAATTAATATATATTTTTTTCATTGGCATTGATTGTTTTGAAATTCAAATTGCACTAACATGCCTGTGTTTTTATTACTTTAATAAATATGGCTGTCCAGCGGGATCTTGATGGTTTATTGTGGGTATGTCGTTTACATGAAGAAATCTGTGTTACAAGGTAAACAAACATTCTAATAAACAATTATATTTTGAATTTAAATAGTTTTTGACTTGCGTTTACATTAATTTTACATTTGAATAGCCAAAATTACAAGTTTCAGTCTTTTAAATGCAATTAATTGCGATTTTAATTTTCAAAAAAAGTGTGATTAATTAGTTATTTTTTTAATTAATTGAAAGCACTAATTAAAATATATTTTAAATTAATTAAAAAATTAAACCGCAAATTCAAACAAGGACTCTAAATAAATAAATAAATAAATTACAGCTGTGTTTTTTGGAATAATTCTGCTAAAAAAAAATTTGGTAAAAATGTAAACATTTACTTAAATTTGCAGTATAATATTATTATATCTTATTTTAAATATTAATAATAAAGATGGTGCCTTGAATCATTCACTTAGAACACAATTATTGTTTATAAAAAAGATATTTAAATAATAATAATTTAGACAATTGCACAAGATTTGTTTAATTAAACTGGTGATCCTCCAACGTAAACAACAGCTTGGATTGTACATTGTACTAATGAACATGTTGTTATGACAATTTATCCTGCCGAAACCACAGAAAAGAAACCTGGAAGCGGCTAATAGAGTATGACTTAGTAAGCAGGAAAGCTAAATATTTTGACAATCTGAATTTAATAGGTGGTAAAGGATATATATGAGCAGTATTAATTATGATGTATAATATTTCACTTACATTGGTTCAGTGGCAATGTTTTCTTTCTGTGCTACTAATTGTTCCGATTAATGACATGTCATGAAAACACTCTCAGAGTGTTCCATTCTTAAGGGCTCATGCCCTAATCCCTTTTAAAGCTGATGATGTTGCTGGGCAATATTGCAGAGCAAACACATTCTTGCTGTTTTTCAGTATAGGTCTATACTTATGTTATATATTTCCCTTACAGTATTTTATGGTTAAAATTCAAGCATTATATATTTAAACATTATTAATAAAATGCTCTTGTTATGAGAAACTAAATTTTTTTTTAATTTTCCAGAGTTCACACTTAGCTTATGATTGATAATTAAGCTTGTTTGGCATGCTGTCCCGGCAGAGAGCCCTGTGCTTATAAGATCCTCGAGCCCTGGGCTCCTTCCCGTTAACAGGGCGAGAGGGTAGTTTGAGCTCAGGTAGAGTTCGATGAACTCCCCCAACTCATTTCTGGCTAATGACAGATAAAGGGATGGTTAAAGAGCAATATATGGTGTACTGAGACTCTGAGAATTCAACTATAATGCCAATTTGATTGTTCAATTAACTTATGCCTAGTTCAGACTGCGTGATTTTAGCCCCGATTTTGGCTCGCCGACAAATGCCTGAAATCACAGGCAAATCGCTGCTCATGCACGTTAGTGACAATCACACAGTATGAACTTTCAAAGACGCGATCTGAGAGAATCGCTGATGAATCGCCGATGCCTGCGAGATATTTGGCGTGCTAAATATCTGGAGCTGTCGGCGATTCAAATCATGCCGTGTGAATTGAGTTTTGACTGAAAATAACATCAGCCATCGCCTACAGCCAATGAGAGAGCAGCTTTCACTTGTGTGTGCGTGTGTGTATACCTGCTGCAGGCCAGCGGGAGGCTGGGGGAGAAGTTAAAAGCGCTCTTTTTCGGTTTATTTGGACCCACGAAATGGAGGAAAAACTAGTGGAGGTTTGACAGGACTCAGGAGCAACCGTGTCTATTTGACGTTTCATACAGAAAGAAATTAGTTTATTATCAACGTTGAGGAGAAATAGCTAATTCCCTTTAAACCCAGGTGAGCAAACATGTACATGTTCTACCCCATTAAAGGCTTCTTTCTCATTATGTAGTTAATAACAAAAGATATACGACGTGTTTTTGGCTGTAAGACGTAGTTTGGACGAAGTTGTTGGCGATTCTTCCTATAGTAAAGTCATGCAATCTGAAAGCCCCTGTCGCCGATTCATCTTGCAGTGTAAACAAAGCAGCGACGAAACGCTAGCCCAGATAGTCATGCAGTGTGAAAACATCTGTGACACGACTACTTTGAAAATCATGCAGTCTGAACTCGGCATTAGGTGTCATGTTTTTGGACTTTGGGAAAAAACCAGGGAACCTGGAGGAAACCCACGTGAGCACAGGGAAAACAAGCAAATTTTGCACAGAGATGTCGACTGGTTCAGTGGGGATTTTAAAATGTGACATTCTTGTTGTGAGGCAAAAGTGCTAATCACTGGGCCACTGTGTTGCCCAATCTAAAAAGGAGGAGGAGCAGGGGTGGGAGGGGGTTTTCTTCAAGACGAAGATACTGAGATAAGAAACTTGTTATTTATAGTGAGCTAGGAACCATCTGATTGGTGAATAATGAATTGGCTAATGCGGGACCAGCTGTGGACAAACATAAGCCAACCCAAGCTTATTCTGAAAACGTAGCCCCGCGGACGTTTCTGGAGACTGTGATTTACGTGGCCGGAGGTACGTATGGCTGCATTGTCGTTATTTCAAGCGAACGCTATGGGGCGGTGTGACGCCGCTCCTCTTCGCGCTTGCCGGCTTATGGGTCACCTTTTTGTGGAGGGCTTTCCCGCCGCAACCGGTTTGTCCGGTTAGCTCGTCATGTTCCGTCAGTGGAGCAGAGGCCCGGAGGGGAGCCGGCTGTGATGACGACCGCGTTTGAGTCGGGTAGAGCGGTTCTAGAATTCAGGTAAGTCATAAGATCAGTCAGTAAGTCGGACAGACGGTCGCTCGACTGCGGCCTCCGGAGGCTTTTTACGCGAGGACAGTGCAGGCGCGAACGGCGCATGTTTGCGTGAGGCGTTTGAGACACAAAAAAGCAGGCACAGCGGCGTCTCACGGATTCGCAAAAGCAAAAAACTGCACAAATACGTACCTCCCGGGACGTATTTCGCGGTCTCCAGAAACATCCGTGGGGCTACGTTTCCAGAATGAGCCTGGGTTGACACAAGCATGTGTTTTCTTCACGAAATTAGTTTATAAATGCACTTCACATTTTGGTAAATCAGAATCTTTGTGCAAAATACAGTTGTTGCAATTCCAATACTACTGTTTTGACAGTATTATTGATCAGCTTCTGTGAGTTTTCAAAAAAAATTACAAAATTATAATACAAATAGTTTTACCAACCTGTTTTGATTGTTTCTGCAGCGTTCACACGAGACATGGAACGCGAATCAAGTGCGAGTAATTTATATGTCAAGTCAATACAAACGTCCTGCGTCAATACAGTCAATACAGATATCCTGCGGCACAATCCGCGCGAATGACGCAAAATGCGCAAATGGCACAGTGTGAATGGTGCGGCGAGAATTGAGCGTTTTTCGCGCCACATTAACCAATCAGAAGCTTGCTCTTTTGGGGTGTGATTATGACGTATCGTCTGTTGTAGGTTTCACGGGGGAAATCCTCCAGCCGACACTGACAATAGTTCATCAAACTGGTCTCGGCTCAGTCAGAAGCACCGCTGAAAGCCCCTATCATCCAGGTACAGTTTCTGGAGGAGTTTATGAGCTCACAGAGCTGGGCGCACCTCTGAAAGAATCTAGTGGACTCAGACACAGCCCTAAACGTATCGATGCTGTTTTTTCAGCCTTCATAAAGCACTAAACACTGTTATTTTCTTCATAATATCCATGTTAGCCCTTTAGCAAAGAAGCTAGTCACCGGGCAGACAGAAGTCTTGCCCATCACGCGAATCTGCATCTGTTCTGAAGTGAATTTGACAAGCGAATTAAACGGATTTGACGCGTGAATTAAGCGAGTAAACTCAAATGTTCACACGGCTACTTACGCACGAATAGCGCAATTTATCCGCGTGTTCCGCGTCTGGTATGAACACAGCATCATGTGTATATGCTGAATCTGAGTATTATTTCATAGTTCAGTAAAAGCTTCCATAAGGATAAACATGACCTTCTTCAACACTATTAAACCATCCCGTAATGCTCCTTGTGAAGCTTGTGAAACTTAACACCTATTTCATGTTTTTCTCTGTTTTTCTCCAGCTGAGTGTAGCAGTATGTATAGGATTCTTCACTGCTTGGAGTCCATATGCACTGGTGTCTATGTGGGCGGCGTTTGGCCATTTTGATGACATCCCGCCCATGGCGTTCGCCGTCCCTGCAATGTTTGCCAAATCCTCCACCCTTTATAACCCTCTCATCTACCTCTTGCTGAAACCCAACTTCCGCCACCTCCTCTGCAAAGACATGCGCTCGCTGCGAGGGGTTTGCATGCACCACTGTCTGTGCCAGTGTTTTCCCCCATGGAGTTACCGGCCATCATTGGCCCTCAGTCTGCGGCCCCTGCGGCGGCGAGGTCAGTCCATTTCTGAATCAATGGGGGGGCCTGTAGGTCAGTGTCACTGCCCCTGCGAGAGGTGCAATGACCCCTTTGAGCAGTTTAAACACTACCCGCGCCGCTGTCCAGTCAAAGTGAACACTGTGCAGTTGTCTCTGCAGGACAGCACCGAACCTGAATTGGAGCCAGAGCCGGAACCTAAAATGTTGAAAGAAGGCAAACCAAAGAGTCAATCAGTGGAGTGTAAAAAGTCTGTGCGGGTCATCGTGAGGGGGCGGAAATGCTCCGAAATTGACAGTCTGGAGATCACCTTGGAAACGGTGCCTGCTCCTGGTACAGCTGCCAAAAACACCAAACCGTAACACCTGAACCTATGCATGGGTTTGTGTGTGTGTGTGTGTGTGTGCGTGTGTCTCAGTGACTTTACATATGGCTCAGTTAAGGCAAGACACTACAGGCATTGCCCTAGGGCTTTTTGTTTGTTTGTTATGTTTTGTTTCAGACTGCTTGGAAAAAAAAATACAAAATGCTTATTTCCATTTTTATGCACTTTTTTGATCACAATTCATTTCGTTAAAGGCCATTTTCTTAAACTTTCTTAAATTAGTAATGCATCTCCATTTCAGTAGCACTTAGCTAAAAACATATGTTCTACCAACATTTTCCTAAAGTTCCTGTTAAATAACAGGAAATAAACAGGACCTTTTTACACCCCTAAACATGAGGCTGTAGAAAATGTTGCAAGTCTGGCTTCTTGAAACTGGTGGATATTTAATTTAATAATGTCTTGTTTGTGTGCTTAATGACATTTCAAAACTTCTAGAGCAAAAAAAAAACAACAACATCTAATGCCATTTTTGATGTAATCTACTGAAAATCTATTAGTTAAAGATCTTAGGCACTATTTTAATGACCTAGGGGCAAAGTCTAAAGCGCATAGTGCAACAGCATTAAGGGCATGTCCGAATCCACTGTTGCTATTTTAAGGACTAAAATAGGGTTTAAGAGTCAGTTGTGTCGCGCCATGGTGCATTTGCTATTTATATGGCCGACTTTGTAAGTTAATAAACTGAATGGAAACAATTGAACGCTTCACTAGCACGAAAAAAGTTTAACCCGACCATCTGTGTGAGGATAAAGAATGAGCCTCCTTCATTCGGCCTCTTTACTTTCTCTTTACTCTTTTACTTTTATGAATAAGGAAACGGTGTTGTACGCACTCCACTGAAGACAGACATTAGCCTACATATTTAATTTTATTTGTTAAGCACAAATATTTGTTTTAAAACTATTTCTAAATTCAGTACTAATTTCCAGCAAACAAATAAATGAACAATAATAATGAAGTGTGGTCGAAAAACTGAGTTTCTGTATATTTAAACACGTCCTTTTAATGCCCCACATGGTGATGCATACATTTCCAAAACCCGAAAGGTGGAGAAATCTAAACTTGTTTTTATTAAAGCAAATATGAATATCCATACAATAAATAATACTGTAATTAATAATAACATTATACAAATGCAAATTGTCATGAAGAAAATGAAAAAAAAAGTCCCCCGAGTTGAAGAAGAAGAAGAAAATAATATTTTTTGTAACATTTTAATCCTTTAATTTTTTTTCATGTGTAAAGATATGTGTGTACTGCTGTACATCCTGTGTGTATTAAGCAATGCGTTAGTGTTGCACTGGACTTTAGAAGTACTTTCAGTTGGTCAATGGCGCAGTCTGTTTCAGTTCCTCAAAATAGCAATGCGCCAACAATGCGCCCTAACAAAGACCTGTCCACTCATGAGTCCACAAAGTGCTGCAAATAGATTTCCTATTTAAACAACGTGGTGCAAAATGTGAAAATTAGGGTTGTGCTGGTCTGAAAATATAGTTGAAACCAGAAGTTTACATACACTGTAAAAAAAGATTTACATTTACAAAATGTCTGATGGTACATCATACTAAACATTTACTATTTTAGGTTCATTAGATTACCTAAATTATTTACATTTGCTAAATGCCAGAATAATGAGATAATTTTTTTGAGAATGTTTTATTAATTTTTAGAAGGTCAACAGTTTACATACATTTCCTTGGTATGTTTTAGCTTTGCTTTTAAACTGTATAACTTTGGTCAAATGTTTTGGATGTCCTTCCACAAGCTTCTCACAATAGTTTGAAAGAATTTTGGCCCATTCCTCCTGACAGAATTGGTGTAACTAAGTCAGATTTGTAGGCTGTTTTGCTCGCACAAGCTTTTTCAACTCTGCCCACAAATTTTCTATAGGATTGAGATCAGGGCTTTGTGATGGCCACTCCAAAATATTCACTCTGCTGTCCTTAAAGCGCATTTTAACTAATTTGGCAGTAAGCTTAGGGTCATGGTCTATTTGGAAGACCCATTTGTGGCCGAGTTTTAATTTCCTGGCTGCCGTCTTGAGATGTTGCTTCAGTATTTCTACATAATGTTATTTTTTTATGATGCCATCTATGCTGTAAGGTGGACCAGTGCCTCCTGCAGCAAAACCCCACAACATAATCCTACCGCCCCCATACTTCACAGTTTGGATAGTGTTCCTAGGCTTGTACGCTTTCCCTTTTGTCCTCCAAATGTCAATGAGATTACAGGACATGTCTTCAAAAATTTGTCTTTTTTCCCAGTGTAATTTAGCTAATTGTTATCTGGCTTTTTTTGTTGATTCTGGCTTGTTGATTTTCCCATGTTGTCACACAAGGAAGCAGTGTGTTTGAGGTTTTCCTTAAATGCTATTCTACAGTTGTGCCCTCAATAATCTTAAATGTTGTCAATTAGCCAATCAGAAACTTCTAAAACCTTGACATCATCCTCTGAGCTTTTTCAGAGGCATAATAATCTTATTGTATGTAAACTTGACTTTCAAGAAAATTAACAATTTCTCAAAATATCTCTCTCATTATTCTGCTATTAAGCATAACAAAAACTAATTTTATAATCCTAACTTACCCAAAAGAGAAAAAGTTTAGTCACATAAACCTCTGAGTTTTCTTTTTTACTTTTATACAGTGTTTGTAAACTTCTGGTTTTAACTGTAGCAACAAATTGCATCAAACATGTATTGCGCCTTATTGGGCAGAGTGTATGACAGGGCCCTTATTCACCTGGGGTGTCTTGCCTTAAGAAGCTGACAGCAAATGAATTTTGCGTATTGTGTGTTGATGTGTCTGTAATGGAGTGCAATGATTGTTTTTTAAAGTTATTTTTTGTAAGAAGCGGTTTCTTATGGACACAATATCAGTTTTTTATAGTTCATTCAATTTTTTAATGAAGTGTTACGCATGTTTTAGATACCTGTGCTGAGGGAACTAACACATATGCATTCTTTAAAAGTGGATTTGGTAAATGTGAAGGTGTTTGTCAGTGGAAGAAGCTTCCTTTCTAATGTCTTAGGCCTTTTCACACTTGAATTAGTTAGCCCTGGGTTATTTTAAACCACAGATTAACCGAATCCTGGATGATTTTGCCTCACACTGCTCATGAGTTGCCCGGACATGCAAATCCAGCAATTGAGTAAAAGTGCAGATACAGAAACAAACAACACAGGCTCATTGTCATTATATATCCCTGTATACATTTCTGGAGAGCCGCCGACAGCACTACCAGCTGACCGCTTACTTCAGTGTGGACGACTTTTCTGGTTACTAGTTTGCCCAGTAGCTGGTCACATACCTGTACGTCAACAGACTTGAGACGCAGGGTGGAGTTGACTCCGATGACAGGGTTTGAGAATGGTTCTAGAAAGTAGGTAACACAAGAACAAAATGCAAAAAATAAAATAAACACCTAAATAGCGGGGTGAGGATGTGGTAAAATCTGAAAACGTGGTAAAAATCTGGCTGCCATGAGGGCTTTCTTTTTCTGGATTTTCGGCTGGGTTTAGAGAATGGGGTGATCGGGTCAATCGGTGCTTTTGAAAACACTATCGGTTGGGTTTCAGGAAGGAGGTGGTTGAGGTTATCGGTCGGTTGGTCAGCTGATCAGTCAGTCAGTCAGTCGATAGCGGCCTCTGGTGGATTTACGCAAGAAGAGCAGGCGCAAATGGCACTAAAGAGAAATTTGAGACCATAAAAAGCGTACACATCGGCCTCTGGTGGATTTGTGAAAACTAAAACTGCAATAAACATTACCTTCTTAGATGTATTTCCTACTGTCCAGAAATGTATACAAGGGCAAGTATCAATAACGAGCCTGGGTTGCAACTAAACTCCTATATTTAAGCATTTCATTTATGGGGGTTAAAACAGAACCTCACTTTACACCAAATTTTGTTAATAAACAATCCTACATAGCCTAAATATGAAAACTTTGAAACTATGACATGTTGACTCACATTGACCTTATACTAAGAATCAGTGAATCATTAACTGAAGACTCTCTCTGACTGGATCATTTCAATCAATGATTCAATATCTCAAGGCTCTAATAGGGTATATGCCGAAGCATGCTAATAGGACTTTTAATTTGCCAGTAAACAGGGTTAAGCGCTTCCGGTGAACAGTATGCCAATGCAAAAATCTGCAGGTTTAAGGTCAGTTTTCTTTAAAAATCAGTGATCTCCACTGGCTGAGTGATATGCGATATAAAGTGGGGCTGCGTTCGAAACCGCCTACTACTTAGTAGGTACTGCAATTAAATTTAAACGTAATACTCGGCCGTTAGAAAAGTACGTTCTATACTGTATGAATGTGAAAAGTATGAATGGAATTCGGATGTACTACATCCGCCATTTTGTCATGGTCATGTGACCTAGCTGCTTCAGTTGCGTCGTTTTACTTCCATTCATGAATTCTCTTGCGGGGCATCGTGGGATAGCGCAGCATGCATGGGATGCGCACTCCAGAGTCTCGCCGGAAGTAGTAAGTCATCCGGGTACTTCTCGCATACTGTTTTTCGAATTCTATGAATTCGGACATACTACTCGGCTCGCATACTGATTTTAGAGTACTATATAGTATGGAAGTATGCGGTTTTGAACGCAGCCTGGGTCTCATATTGTACAAGAAGCACTGCATGAAATTATATTTTCCTCGCCATGTCTTTATAATATGAGCATTTATTTTAACCTGAGTATATTCAATGGAGCTTCTGCGCTAGCCTGCCGATTCTGACAGGCGAGTGCGAGTAAAAGGCCTTTTGTCTCGTTTTACACTTGAACAACTAAATGAATGCCAAAGTTTATTTAACTGAATGTATTTTAAGTACATTACAACATCGATGCATAAAATGGAAAAAAAAAAATCACAATAACAGGTCACCGGAAGTTTATCAGTATGGGAACTGCACTAGCTCGGCATATACCCTATTAGAATGACTGAATCAATGCACTGATAAGAA